TCCCCTCCTCCGCCTTTCCCTCGTCATCCTGCCCCTCTCGCTCCGCCTGCTCCTACGGTTGCTGCTCCGCCTTTTTCTCCTCGTCATCATCATGCCCATCCTCCTGGTTGACGCCGTGCCGCCTGTTCGAAGCCGCCTCGTGGCTAATAAACGCCTCCTTTGACGACTGATGGCCGCCCTCCCATTGCGATCGGAGCGCGTGCGCGTTCTGGACCTGCTAACAGCTCTGGGCCCCGTAAGAGTGACGAGCGTACGGTGGGGAAGTCTTGGCCCCCCACAGCTATGTGCCGTGCTCACGTGCATGGCTCGGTACTGACAGGCGCCTGAGAGCCTCCAGACGCCTCCAGAGGTGGCCGTCGTCGTCGTCGTCGTCGTCGTCGTTGTCCTCCTTGTCGTCGTCGTCCTCGCCGTCGTTGTCGACGTCGTCATCGTCGTCCTCGTCGTGGTGGTTGTCGTCGTCGTCATTGTCCCCGTCCTCGTCCTCGTCGTCGTCGTTATCGTCGCCGTCGTGTCCGATGACCTCGAAGGGCCTGCAGACGCTTCCAGAGGCCTCCGGAGATCTCCTATGGTCTCTGGACACTTCTGTACGCAGAGGCGGCCGTCGTCGTCGTCGATGTCGTTGTCGTTGTCGTGGTCGTCGTCGTCGTCTCCGTCGTCATTTTCGTTATCGTCGCCGTCGTCGTTTGTCGTCCTCGTCGTCGTCCTCGGCCTCGTCGTCGTCGTCGTCTCGTCTCGTCGTCGTCGTTTCCGAGGGCCTCGAAGGGCCTCCTGACGCCTCCAGAGGCCTTGTGAGACTTCCTGTGGCCTTGGAGACCTCTGGAGGCATTCCGAGGCGGTCGTCGTCGTCGTCGTTGTCGTCTTCGTTGTCGTCATCGCCCCCGTCCCCGTCCTCGCCCTCATCCTCGTCGTCATTGTCGTCGTTGTTGCCGCACCCGCGTCCGCGTCCTCGTCGTCGTCGTCTTCCTGGCCCTCGTCCTCGTCGTTGTCGTTGTCGTCGGCGTTGTCGTCTTCGTCGTCGTCGTTGTCATCTTCGTTGTCGTCATCGTCCCCGTCCTCGTCCTCATCCTCGTCCTCATCGTCGTCGCCGTTGTCGCCGCCGTCTCGTCATCGCCGTCGGCGTCGTCGTCACGGTCGTCGTCGTAGTCGTTGTTTGCGTCGTCCTCGTTCTCGTCTCCTTCCTCGTCTTTTTTTGTCGTTGGGGTCGTTCTCTTCGTCGTCGTCATCGAGGGCCTCGAAGGGCCTTCAGACGCCTTCAGAGGTCTCTGGAGACCTCAGGCCTCCGGCGACCTTCACAGGCGGCCGTCGTCGTCGTGGTCCTCGTCCTCGTCGTCGTCCTCGTCGTCGCCCTTGTCCTCGTCCTTGTTGTCGTCTTCGTCGTCGTCCCCGTCCTCGTCCTCGCCGTTATCGTCGTCGTCGGCGTCGTCGTAGTCGACGTCGTCCTCGTCGTCCTCGTCCTCGTTATCGTCGTTATCGTCGTCGGCGTCGGCGTCGTCGTCGTCCTGCGCCTGGGCCCCCCCCCGCGGGCCCCCTACGGGGGTCCGAACCCCCCCCCGAGTAATGGACGTTACGGTGGGGGAATACAGTCAGCCCGCATAGTAAGGATGATCGATTTCCCAAAGTTACCTTTGCATCCTTCCCGTTTGGCCCATTCTTGGCCGCTTTCGCTGGCCGCGCCCCGCTCGCAAAGTGTCGACATGGTCTTCCAAGGCCATTGCATCCTCATCGTGCTTCCTGTTGATACGGGTTGACAACCCCACTTTTCAGTGTACGAATCTTCCTTGCTTGATTGCACACCCCACGATGGGATCACTTTGCGGGTTCAGGTCCGCTAGAACATCCGACGGTGGATAGGGAAGCACAACCGCAATGGGCAGGGATTGGCGGCAGGGTGGGATGGCACACATACGCATGTAAAAGAATGAGCGCGTTCTGTGGACGCTTGGGATGGAAGGGGCGGGTTCTAACGGCCCCCCCCCCCCTCCCATTGAATTGCAGGGGGGCGGGGGGGTTCGAACTGAGCCCCCACCCTCACGGATGTTTCGCGTTTGTTGTGCGTCAACGGGTTGCCAGGCGCAGCGGTTTTCATTCGTTAATTTGTTTCTTGTTTGCGCGAGTGATAAGCTCGAGTGGCGTTCTCAATGGCATCCTCGCGCCCTCGCCTGCCCGGCGTATCCGAAGACAATTCTGAGGCGTATGCTCTGGCGCCAGAGGGCCTCGCATCCGCTCATCCGCTCGCGCGCGTCATTTGTCATCGTGTGATGGGGATTTCTTTTGCGCCACGTTCGCCCGATCAGTGGCCACTGCCGATGGCTCTTTTGAAAACGGGGAGTTTTCAAAATGAAGGCAGGCGCGCGTTATTCCGGCGTTCGCCTTGCATTACTCTGAAACCGTTGTGCATCGAGAGAGGGGGGTTCGAAGGCTGGAGACTGGGTCTAGATACACGATTGCGTTTACAGGGCTCGCTGTTTCTCGCGGGCGTTCGAGTTTCGCCCCGTGGTGCTTAAAGGTTTCCAATAGGAGTTTCTCATTTCAGCGTCAGTAAGGGTCCTCGTTGGACGGTTTTTGTAATCATGTGATGGGTTGTTAGTATGCCCAGCGTTCGCCCGAACAATATCTAGCGCTGTAAAACTGAAAACCCGGGTTGGCCGAGGATTGTTTTGAAAAAGAAAACTCCGAATTCAGGGCGGGCGCGCGTCATCCATGTGCTCGCTTTGCATTTCTCTTCAGCCCCGCTGCGCATCCGAAAAGGGAGTTTTCAAGGGGGGTGGGGGTCTGGAGAAACGATTGTGTTGACAGGGCCCGCTGTGTGTCCTATCGGAGTTTGTTTTTCGGCGGCAGCGACAAGATCAGGGCTCCAGGTGGTCGTTATGATCTTGAAGCGGGCGGACTGGTCGCGTTCATTGTGCATCAACGGGTTGGTTGGCGCAGTGGCCATGATGAGTTGTATTGTTTCATGTCAGCGCGTAGCACGGCTGGGTGGCTTTGTCAGCGGCACCCGTGCGCCCTCGCCTGCCCAGCGCATCCGAAAACACATTGAGGCGTATGCTCTGGCGCCAAAGGGACTCGCATCCTTGCCACTCATCCGCTTACGCGCGTTATGTGTAATCATGCGATGGGTTGTTCTTTGACGTAGCGTTCGTCCAGTGAACGGCTTCCGCCGTAAGACGGAGAGGCCGGGGCGGCCGAGGGCTCTTTTGAAATGGGGGAGCCTTCAAATTTAGGGCAGGCGCGTGATATCCAGGTGCCCGCTTTGCATGATTATGTAGCCGCCGTACATCGGAAGAGGCAGGCTCGAAGGCTGGAGGAGAGGTCTAGAGAAACGATGGCGTTTACAGGGCTCGCTGTTTCGCTCACGCGTTCGGGTTTCGGCGGCATGAGGGTTCGATCGAAGGAGTTCGGTTATCCGTAGTGCATATAGGTTTCCATCCAGAGTTACCTATGCCAACATCCGCAAGCTTCCTCGTTCGGCAGAGAAACCGTCTCCGCTCACCCGAATAGTTGTTTTGGTTCGACCAAGATCAATTTCCATAATTTCCTGGTTCGATTTGCAGAATCCCCCGGTTCGCTGGGACACATTTCTTCGTTCGCCCGTCGAAGTTTCTTCGCTCGGCCGAAACACATGTTCTTGTCGTTTGTCGATCGGACCTCGTGGGAGGCCTCCCACGGGCTTCTGGGAGGCAGTTCGGAGGCCTCTTTACGGCCGTTTGGTGGCCTCTTGGGGCCTTTTTTGGTCTTCCAAGGGGTGTTTTGGAGCCTCTTGGGGGCCCCTTGGGTGCCTTTCGGGGCCTCGTGGGCGCCTCTTGGGGCGGAAGGCTCGGATTTTCGGTTCATGTTCCTTCTCTTGGGTCGGCCCATTTGGGGGGCCGTCTTGGGCGCCTTTTGGGGCGCTTTTAGGCCGTCGTGGGGCCCGTTTCGAGGCCTCTTGGGACGTTTTGGGGTTGTGTTGGGGGCCTCTTAGGCCGCCTTGGAGCGTCGGAAAGACGAAAAGGCGAGAACGCCCAAACCCTTGATGCACCGAATAAAAATCAATGATTGTTGCTTCTTGATGTCCTCTTGGGAGGCCTCTTGGAGGCCTCCTGGGGCGTCTTGAAGACCTCTTGGGCCATCTTCAGGTCATCTTAGGTGGCTTGGGCCGATCTTTGGACGTTTCGGGGCCCTCGTGGGCCGTCTTGGAGGCCGCTTGGGGCCCTTTTGGCCCGTCTCGGGGCCCCTCTTGGCCCCAGAACAGTCATGCGACACCACTTCCCGAAGCCCAGGGAAACCGCGAGAAACCCTAAGATATTTGGGCCGAAGGGCTCCGAACCCTTAAGGACTCTTTAAGGAGTGAGAACTGAGGCTTTGAGGGGTAGTGAGATGACCTGAGGGCACGCCCACTCCGTGCCCAAAGGCACGGTGGTTGATATATATATATATATATATATATATGTACATAAATGTATACATATATATATATATACACATACAGATATGCATATATATAGTAATACTGTATCCAATTGCGCTCGATCTGATGGCGTGGACACTCGATCGCGCGGAGATTACGTTGCGTCTCCCTGTGCCAGAGACCCCATTTTGGGGTGCCTTGGAGGCCTCGCGGTATGAGCCCGAGTCCACCCCTGTCGCGGATGCAGCATTTGTGGATGATGAGTGTTTCGTTCTCATGGCTGCGTCTGGGGCTCTCCTGGACAAAGCCATCGACGTGTTGCTTCGCCAGCCTTTTGTGGTCTTGGGCAACCTGCACCTCTCCATAAATTGTAAGCCTGGCAAAACTGAAGCACTTCTTGAGCATCGTGGCTACCAAGCAGCACAGTTGCGCGAAGTCCGTCGGTGCCCTGACAGTAAAATGCGTCTCGCGGTCCTTGGGAAGCCCAGCTTCGCAATCGATGTGGTTGGGAGCTATGTCCATTTGAGGACCCACACTTCAGTCAACGGCTCCTGCTTTAAGAATGCATCTCTCCGCTGTGCAAGTGCTATGGCCGCGTATGCTCCTGTGTCTTCTA